AATTTAGATTTGCTTCTATTCCAGGGCAGTTGCTTTTTGGGACAGGGGTAGGTACACTGACATATAGGAGGAACCTTGTGGCAAAAGCCTAGCAACTATCTCAGAACAGTTCTATTTGTGTAGCCATGAGTGCCTTTGTGTGGCGTAGGCTAATCCACATTGGAACATTTACTGTGAAAAGCCCTCTTAAAGTGGAGTACAAGTGCCTATGCAGTGTGCTTCTAGGTATTTCCGGCTCTTCCCCCTTCCTCCTCAGTCACAGCAGGGTACTTAAGCAGATCCCTGACTTTAAGCATATAGACAGTCCCATCAAGGTCAGTAGGGCTAAGTAGCACAGTTTTAAATATCAGACTGAATCAGGGCTTGCATGCATATCAAAGACAATATGGTAATTTTTATGAGAAAAAGGATTTGCCCTAGTCCTGGCCAGAACTGGCACACCCCTTACTATTGCACAATGTATGAGTCATTATCACCTTCCACCCAATTCTCTACAAGGCTGCATTTCCCTGAAACTGTATTTGTATAGGACAGGAAGCTACACTCGGTCTCATTCACAAAGGGTTCTTTACATGATCAAGGTCTAACTCCAGGAGCCAACAATGGTTTAGGGACAATAATAATAATATAGAAACCTGTACTTTAGCATGCAGCCATTATGAAAGACTGGGCCTGAACCCTTTCCCTCCTATATCAAGTATTATCTTTCTACTTGTGTATATTTAAGCCTTTCAACTGGTCCCAGTAAAACATACTGAATTTAAAGGATTAACATTCAAATTATGATACAGATTTAAGATACTGTCATTGTTCATTATTTGCTGAAAATGTTTATAAAATAAATATTACCGATATATTTGCATTCCAAAAAATAGTTTGAATATGTGGCAGAAAAAAACCCGACAGCAGCCATGCAGTGCTTACCTATCTGTATCTCACAGGGCATTGGGAGGATTAATTGATTCTTGCAAAGATGTAAAATGCTACGTAAGTATCATTGGTTCTAAGTGCTTTGAAAATAGAAACCATTCTCTGAGTGCCAAGTATTATTGTTTATGGAGCACAGACTGTGTGTGTGGTGCTGTGCATACTCAGTTGATGATACTGCAAACACAGCTTCTGAACACAGCATTCACTTACTATGAGTAATTTCACCAGCTTCAGGGAGGCTGCTCAGGGACAATGCAGGGCCACTATTTTCCAACATCACTAAAAGCAAGTCACAGCCTTATTAAAGTACCTAAAAAATGAAAAGTTTATTCTTATTTAGGGATGTGCTAGAAACAAAACTCAGATCCAAATTTTGTAGGACTTAGGATCCACTTCCTGATGGAAACTTTGTGGTTTGGTCCTCTTATCATTACGAGATGGCTTGTAAAACAAAAGGTGCTACAGATTATTATTTAGTTAAAAGTACCTTCTCCTTTCCTTCATGCCAAGTTGTCTGTGTACAGCCTCCATTTCCCCTAGACCAGGGGTCCACTTTCTCTCCACAGAGCCAGGAACTCTGCATAAATGAGCAAGCTCCCATTTCCCCCCCATCTCCATCCTACACTATCATTTCTATTCTTTCAGCTAGGAGGGGAAATAATTCAGAGTGACTGGGTACCACCATCAATTGCATCTTGCTGTTGCAGGGCTACATGAAGCCGTGGCTCTCTTAAACAGGGAAAAGGAGCTCCCCCCCATCTGCTCCCCAACATCAATGGTGTTCTTGTCTGTTTCCTGGAATTTTTTAATTGAACAGGTGTCGTGTCCAAAAGTTAATATGCCAAACTTGCTACGTAGACAAACAGACAAGAAATACCATCAGGTGGAGTGTAGGACTTTGCAAACTCAGCCCATTAAAAATCAATTAAAAAAATAAACATTTAGTAATACCAAACGACTTAATTCAGTAATTCAGCATGACAATCCGCTGGATGGCAATTAATGATATAAACCCTGCCTTCAAAGTCTTCTCTTCCCATATATGATTCAGCCGTCTTCAAAATTCAGCGGAAATAGACTTTGCAGCCTTGTCTGGAAGGCCAAGTGCTGAGCTATTTTGGATGGCACAATGAAAAATGCTATTTTCTGCAAGTGCTGATTATTATTATTATTATAGCTATTTAGAAAGCACGGAACAAAAAGCGCTCTGGCCCTGATCCTGCAAAAGTAAACAATGGGGCTGATCCTTGAGGTCCACTGAAGTCCTGGAGTTTGCCTTCCCGTGGAATTGTGCTAGGGCACAAGGATCCATCTATGTGGATCAGCTTGCAGGTCCAGGACCAGTATAGGGTGATGCTCACCCATGTCAAGCCTGGTAATTAGGACAAATGCAACATTTTCCCCCACCACGGAGTGGAAATGACACCATAGTACAGATCTTCATAGCTCCTACTGTAGCCTGTGGCCTGGAACAGTGACTGAGCCTCTCTGTCACTTACAGAGGGGTTGGGAGTATTTTGGCCGCCTGTGAAGCATGCTGGTATGAAGTCTCTACTTGGAATTCACCCCGCAGCTCCTATTCCTGCAGGCTGATCAGTTTGGGACTTGTAGGGGCATTGCTCATGAAGATTTGACTGCAGGATCTGGGCTAGGCAAGTGCTCAGAAAAAAGCTCCAAGATGATTCATATGAATGAATCCTGCTTTGGAAAAACTGAATTGTGATATAAATGCTAAATGTTATTAAAGAGTCTCAAAAAGAAGTGTGCATGGCACTAAATATAATTAAAAAGGAGGATTTTACTAAGAAACAGGAACACTACAATGCTGATCCTGTAATGGCTGGGTCAGGGCGTAAGGGCCAGACACTACAGTTAATAATCAAGCATTTAAAATAATAAAGCATTACAAACATGCTACATGTACATGATGCAAGTGATCTGGCAATACACCATGGATGTGCTTAAAAAAAATAAAATAAAAGCAACAATAAAAGCACAATGGCCAGCTCTATTGCCTTGCGCAAGCTGTTGCAAAGTGTGTGCACACAATCTGGGAAACGCCTCTCCGGCTGTATTTGAACCCCAGTGCCTGTGCCCACTCCTCCTTGCTGTTCTGGCTGCTGATGGTTTGTTCGACATCAATAATAAATCAACAGTGCCTGACAATATTGCTCAATGCAAACTGCTGCAAAGCTCTGGGAGGGTGCGCTCCCCTGGGTGGGGGAGGTCTCTCCTGGTTGAATTGGGACCCTCATGGCTTCTGTTTCACCCCCATACGTTGCTTTGTTGGTGCTTTCTGCTTTGTGTAGTCCTACTAATCAAACCCCAGCCCTTGGCAAAAGTACAGCGTGGCACTGGCTTGCGGGGTGCAAGGAACATGAATATGCTTGTGCAAGGGCCTCCTTGGCTGTGCTGGACCCCAGCCCCTATGCCCCTTGCACCACGCCTGGCCCTTGCTCTGCTGGCTGGCATGCTTTGAACAACAAACTAGCCCTGCCTGCCAAGGCTGCCTTGTATTTCCTGGAGCACATGTGGGAGGGGAGGGGATTTCCCTGAGAATATTATACCCCCATGTGCCACCCCACTTCACCTTCACATGCTAACCCACCCCCACAGCTGGCAGTCCTGGCTGTTGGTGGCTTGCCTGTTTTCCAACAACAAAACCGCCTTGCTTGGCAATATCTCATGCAGCTGGCTTGCAAACGGGGAGAAAAGGAGGCAGGGTCCTGCACCCTGGCCCCCCAGTGCCCCCCTTCACCCCAGCCCAGGGCTTTGCTTGGCAATATCACACGCAGTTGGCTTGCAAAGGGGGCGAAAAGGGGCAGGGTCCTGCACCTTCACCCCAGTACAGGATTTTGCTTGGCAATATCTCATGCAACTGGTGAGAAAAGGGGGCAAGGTCCTGCACCCTGTCCCCCTTCATGCCCTTCACCCCGGCTCAGGACTTTGCCCGGCAGTATCTCACGCAGCTGGTTTGCAAAGCGGGCAGGATCCAAAGGGGGAGAACAAGGAGCAAGGTCCTGCACCTTCACCTCAGCTCAGGGCCTTGCTTGGCAATATCATGCATCTGCCTTGCAAAGAGGGAGAAAAGCGGGCACGGTCCTGCGTCTTCCCCCCCCAGCCCAGGGCTTTGCTTGCCAATATGCAGCTGGTGAGCGAAGTGGGAGTAGGATCCTGCATCCTGCCCCCCCCTCGGCCCAGGGCTTTGCTTGGCAATGTCATGCATTTGGCTTGTAAAGGAGGCAGGGTTCTGCCCCCCCAGCGCCCCCCTTCACCCCAGTGTGTGTGGGGGGGAGAGGGGGCAGGGCAGGGCAGGGCGAGCGGCGCCCCCCCGGGCGGGCCCATTTCCGTGCGGCCGGGCGCGCCGTCCCCGCGTGGGGCGTCTCGAGCCGTTGGCTGCTCCGCGCCGTTTGGCTCCTTCCCCTAGTAACAGCTTCCTGCCGCCGGCCCCGCTCCGCGCCTCACACTCACTCTCACACACACACACACGCGTGCGTTACCGCTCTTCCTCCTCGGGACTTCATCCCCCACCCCTCCCCCTCCCCCCC